CGAGTTTATCCTGCAAACGATGAAAACATTTGGGAGGGTACATCTCATTTGTTCCTCATTTTCCAGGCTCTTACAAAGACGAACGAGCAGAAGCACAAGCCTAATAAACCGTTATACCAATCTTGGATTACGGCTCAACACTAAAAGAAGTGTATGTCCGTACATAGCGAACGTGAGATAGGTAAGAGACCCAACAGTCTTTATGTATAAAATGGTGAGTGCCTATCATTCTTGAATTTTACAAGTGTTAGCAGAGTATAAGTTAAATTTACTTGCTACTCTTACTTCTTTACGAACTTAATAGAAACCAGAAGTAAAATATAAAAAAAGAAGCCAAAAAATGGAAAAGAAAAATCACAACGTTGGAAATTTAGAAGTATGCTGAAAGCTTTCATTATAGCCACTAAACCCGTTTCCCTCCTTGACCAAAGGACGAAAATACATATAGAGAGCAGTACATAGTTAACAATGTAGGCTGATAAAGGGCAGTTAATTCTGTTTTGTCAACATCAAACACTTCCGTAGAATTTGAATTCTATTTGGAATTAGACCTCAAATCTTGTGGTATGAGTGGTTCGTAAGAATTATTACTTTCACTGATAAATGAGGTTACGGAATCATTGGAAGCTAAGCCTATACAAAAAATCGATCTGTCGTTGTATCCTTCTTACGTTGCAAAGAGATATATGGAAATTTTCAAAGCATTGCGAGGGGGAGTTCAGAAGAGAGAAAACTCGCATGTGGAAAAGTGAAGGTAAAAACAATGCTCGCTCGATGAGATAGAGTATGGCTGATAATAAATAGAGTGCAATAATAGAAAAAAGGAGTACAGGCAAGTGAGCTACGTAAACTACTGTAAGACTACATATTAAACAGTACGAGAAGGTTTTACAACCTCTATGACGTCAAAAAGCAAAACTGATTGAAAAAATATTTATACAATGGTTGAGTGGGCATTAAATCAGGAAAATGTTCGATGATAAGAAGTAAAACATATTGATCATTTGGTACCCGTCAGTGATGAATGGTACTGACTAGAAACTGTCAATCAAACTTGAAATTATTCCTCAATTCACACCTGATTCAATTGAGCGCAAAATGAACTGAAACCTTTTACTGTTAAAATGGACCCAAAATAATGGATAGACTTTGTGCAGTTGAATCTAGTCACCGCCATTATTCAATGATTGTAACGATAACTCTTTAAATAAAATCATACCAACTTTCAACTTTGACATTCCTAGCAATAAAAACAAGAATGATAACAACAACAGGTGATATAATATTATTGGCTCTCATTGCGTTTTTGCTCTTCCAACAGATA